AGAGGTTTTATAAATCACAAAGACGAACAATCTAACTTTGTAATGGACAAAAGGCATGGTTACAGTTAACAGAAAAGGAAGTTAAAATGGCTCTTAAAAAGATGTTCGGTCTCATTCATGAAATGAGAAATGCAAATTAAAACTCAAATGAGATGCTATTTTCTTACCTATCAGAGTGGCAAAGATAAAAGTTTAATGAAACTTTTGGTGAGGGTATGGGAAACAAACCTATTATGTATTGTTTTGTGACTATAAACTGGCTTAAAGTTTATGGAAGATATTTTGGCAAATTGTATCAAAATTATAAAAGCACAAAGCTTTTGACAGAAATTCTATTTCTGGGACTATTATTCTATAGAGTTATACATGTGTCAAAAGACTATGTTTAAAAAGATATTCACTGCAGCATCATTTACAATTTATAGCTTAAACATACATCAACAGGGCTGGTTAAATCAATTATGGCACAGTCATGCAACAGAATACTATACAGCCATAAAAAAGATGGTGGAAGCTTTTTATATAAGAGATGGTATAGAATAGTCTATATGATATGGTACCATTTGAGAAAAAAGCATTATATAATCGCTTATGTATGTGCACTGAGCAAATCTGGAAGGATATAAAAGAAACTGAGGAGGAAAACTGGGTAGATGAGACAGGGATGAGAATAAGACTTTTCAATATATATCCTTTTGTACTTTCTAATTTTGAATTACTACCAATTCAAAAGGATTTAAAAATGAAACAAATGGAGAGAAGAATGACACCACCACTTAATGTGCTGCCTCAGTGCTGACACAGTATGGGACACCAGGGGTAGCAGTGGGAAGTATAACAATGTTCACTATATCCCCAGCATGAAGCCCTGTATCACAGACTGAGCTGACAATCCAGGTGACCCAACTGACGGCCTCACAGGCTCAACAATGATATTCACATTGGTTCTGGGATCTAGCTGCTACTCTGGTCAGCATGTTTCTGGCCGAAAGAATCTACACCATGCAGGGGGCTCCTACTTTGGGAATATTCTTCCCCCATAGGTGGTGGGTGGTCTTCATCCCAGTCCACAGAATCCTCATCCGTCAGCACGACGATGTGGCATTCTCGCTCCCCTTTCTTGGCACAGCCGACCATGATGGGCAGGATCAGCTCTTCGAGGTAGTGATCAAACTGCTTGTGAGCACCGTCATTAGACAGTTCATGCAGTAAAGCACCTAGGAGACAAAATGCAATTGAACATCCTCTCTGCCCAAATGCAGGTACTGCTGCACTGAAGAGACTATGAGGCAACAGCTGTTCGCACTGTTAAGGTCCAGAGAAGTGGCCCATTTAAAGGAAAAGAACGTTTCCTGTTCCAAGATGATAATTAAACCAATTCTGTTAAACGCTTCACATTCTGCCACTCTTCAATCTCCTCTTGTTCAATAAACCCTGAGCATTTCTGATCAATTAGTTGTTTTTCTGACATACAGTGTCAGAACATAAACATTACTTCTACAAGAGACAGAAATATCATTTGGGGATGACTCTTTATAGTACCTCTTCTGAAGATGTTCTGGACCCCAATTTCACAAGGTCAGAGTGCCACAAAAAAGGAATATTCTGAAGTTTTGCCACACCAAAGGACTTGCCGTAAGTGTGTACTAGACCCAACAGAGAAACCCCAAGTCCAGAGAACTTCATGGAATATGCAGAGAAATATACCATAAACTTCAAAGGATAAATTTTAAAATAATTTCAGGAAGCGTAGGTAATGATAACTGTATTCAGGCAATCAATTCTAGTCCCAACGTTTAATGTTTAGAGTTTTGAACAAGCTACATTTTCTCAGTCTTCTCTTTTGTTCTGAGATTATCACCTGTCAAAGGTGAACTGTGAAACTTAACACAAGTTTACATCTACAAAGCACTTAGCCAACACTAAGTTCATAATGGTAAACTAAGAAGAACCCAGCCAATTTATGTTGTGTGACTTTATTAGTGAGCCTTCCCTTATATTTAGGATCAGCATCCTTATTCGTTAGAGTTGAGACACCAATGTCCCAAGAGGGGAAGCGATTTAGCTTGGTGACTCACTTGGTCGAGCTAGATTTAGAACCCACTCCGTGTTCTCTTGTTTACCCCACTTCCTCACGGTGCTCTGAAGCAAGAGAGGGAAGGAGTCAGTAAACCTCTGCGGATGACTTTCAACCCACGCTTGAATTGCTTTATGTTTAGTAATTTAAAATGTCAGTTCCAAGCAAACTAAAAGTTCAGCTGCTCAAACGTAGCTGGCAGCTGCTCCTGTACTTACTCAGATCTTGACATCGGATAGTGTTGAAGTCAAAGTTAATGCAGAGATAATCGCATGTATCCCTAAGGTCTGGTATAGAGATGCCATCAGGACAATTAATGACACCAGTTTTGTAATAATCCTGTAACAGATTAGGAAGAAGAAATGTAGGCAAAGAACAAAGTGAAAAAAAAACCCCTCTTCAACCCTCTACTCACTCTTGGTTCTGTTAAAGTGGTAGGTTACTAGAACTGTCACCAAGCTGGTGACTCGTTGGATGGCAAAGTGGCTCCTGGCCATCCTGACATGTTTAATCACAACTTGGTACCTGACTGAACTCACAAGTGAGAAGGACTTAAGAATTACAGGAACAGAAAACAGTGAGAAAGGCAATGATTAGGAATGAGAAACCCTAAAGTCAGAACACAGTCCGATGGAACTCTCAAGGCTTCCAACTCTGTGTGTCCCCAGGGAAGAGGATGTATCAAGAAGGCCACTACACACCAGCACTGTTCGAAATACAGTGGCACTGATTCCTTCCGCAATCTCATACTCGCCCTTCTCGTTGGGCCTCGTGAAGTTGTACTCTCTTCCTGGTCCAAACATCCTGAAAGATACCCAGGCAACAATGTTACCTTCTCCAGCAGGATTCTGCACAGATAAGCCTTCTCCCTTCTTCACCTCATTCTGGAAGCCTCCATTCCATTCTCTCAGTGTAAGTTAGAAACAGAGCACTAGAACCCAGCCCCTCTAAGGTAAGTCTTAGGACACTCCCTTCAGACAGGAAAAGGCGGCAGAACTGCTTTCAGAGTTTGAGCGCAAGGAGGGACAAAGCAGCAAGCCTCCACAGCTCACCTGCAGCGAGCTTCTGGGACAGCAAACGAAATACAGCCGTCCGCAGAGCTGGCCCCGGAAGGTCTCCGGAGTGCGTGCGGGTTGCCTCTCGCGGCCTCTCCAGCACTGAGAGGCCCACACACCCGGAGCTCGGGGACAGCATCTGCTGCTCCCGAGCTTCCCCGTGCCTTCTCCTCATCCATCAGCATGTACCTATCCAGCATGCCGTCCTCGGTATTTCTGAGCTTTCCTTTCAACATCTAATCTGATAGATGAATCTGTACCAGTAGGTGCAGACATGTTAATGCTTTCCCTTTCTTGGTACGTTTTAATGGCAGAACTCTGGGGAAAAAAATGCCCTTCTTCAACCCAGGGAAAACTAACGATGGGAATTTCAGGTCAAGTAGAAAAGGAGGGTAGGTATTAGGCTCATCAGCAGTTTGACATATTTCAGAGAAGCAGGCCTAGTCTGGGCATGAATTCAGAGGTCATGAGGGCACAGGAAGTCTTGCTTTTATATTCATCTTTTCCCATCCTTCCTCCCTCTCTCAGGTCCCCGCCAGGAAAACTCGCCCCATGACTGCTACCACTCCTGCCGCACTTCCGCGTAGGAACTGCAGCATGAGAAGCCAGCCCAATGGGCACTCACTGCCAGCTCCTTCCTTACCCTGTTGGGAAACCCTGCTGCTCAACTGTTCACAGCTGGTATCCCCTACCTTGAACTAGCTGCTTTTCAAAGGTCTGCAAAAGACTCATATGCTTTCCAAATCACTATACCATGTGTTAAGAAATCCATCCTGATGACAGTCTTCAAAGAATGCTGACATTTTTCTGGAATGTTCTGGTTAAAGTGTAGCCAAGACAGCTATGAATCAAAATAGTGAACAATGTTATAAACTTAACTCCCATCTATCTTCAGCAGGATCCAGGCTCAGAGTTCTTCACCTAGCAGTGGCATGATCTGCATTAACCTGGCCTCAGTTTCTCAGCCTGTCCCCCCTGTGACGGTCAGCTCACTGGCTAGGTTTCTGAGCACTGTTCTGTATGCAGCCACAGGACAGAACAAACCTAGGAAACTCTCAGCATTTATGACCTTGGCTGACTCAGCTGGTAAATCACCTAGATAAAGGAACCTACTACCCAGAAAATGCGTGCCTTTTAAGCAGTACTTTCAAAGGCAGCCTATTTCAAACAGCCAGCCTACCCTGAGGAACACCTTTTTTGTGGAAGTGACCTGGGGGGAAATGGTGGTAAGACTGAGGACATGAAGTCAAGTCTGATAAAATATCAGACCAACTTAGAGAATGTTTTAATGTTCTAGTTTAATCTTAATTCAGATATTTAAGAAATATATATGTTTGGCTCTGGGTAAAAATGGTTCATCATGAATTTGTACGTGTATGCTTGAATATACACATATTTGAATAGCTAGATTCCATTTAGCCTAAAAGTCAGCAAGTTAGTGTGGTCCAGTCTGATTTGTAATTCAGTTTAGACTAATTCAAAGTCCCGAAAGAGGTTAGATCTTTAAATAAGACCCACTCCTAAGCACTAGATGAAAATCCTCAAAAGCCCAGTGTCTGTGTGTGTACACACAAATTATCATACTCTCATCCCAGTGTGCTCTGCATGTTAAGGTCTGCGGTTGGCCAGGAAAGATCTCCTAACTCCCAGCCCAGGCTCCCGGACAGCACTCCTCCTCAGCAGACTCTTCCCATTCCCTAAACTCTAATCCTAAAAAGCTGGAGGCAGGAGATTGGTGGGTGGAGAAGACTACAGTCTGAATGAAGCAGTACAGAGAACAGAACACGAAGAACAGAGAACAGCTGTCAAACAACAAAACAGCCAGATATAAGGATCTCGTTTCAGAAAACCTGAATAGTGATGCAGGCATGAGAAACTTACAGCATTAACACATATTGCCAAGCATAAATGGCAGGAGATGGCAAGCAAAATGCTTTCTGGTCAAATGGCTTTGTTCTTGTGTAATGTGGAACATTTGTCCAATTCTACTTTTTTATTAAAAGGTGGGAAAAAAAAAGGACAGGACTTAGATCTCACCTTATTCTAGTATCTTTGGCCTGTGGCACTCAGAAAACATTACTTTCGAGAGCTTATACAAATTGCGGATACAAGAAACTACGTACTGACTTACGTTTCAGAGGGAGTTTATAGAGGAATCGGGAACGAGATTCGGCAGATTATTTTCCACAGCTCTGACCACATGCCCCTGTATGGGGGCTCACTTCACTACACTGGGTTTGTAAATGAAACAAGAACCCCCTCCCTCCAAATCACCAGCACATAAGGCTTCTGTCAGCTGGCACTCTGTTTCAAAGTATGAAGGTAGAAAAAAAAGCAACGCAACGTTTTACTCTCACATCTAACACAAGGCAAAGAGCAGGTATTTCTATTCACAGACAACAGAGTGAATTTGGAAGGAAATTATCATCAATTACCTTCCCAACATGGTATCCGGGTGAGCAGTGAAAATTTGTGGATTCACAACAAAACGTGTGCCATCTACAAGAAGCGTCACTTTCTCTGGCGCCTGGGAATGAACGTTACTGCCAAAGCCCACAGTGCTGCTTCCAAACCGTTCTGGAGTGATAAAGGGTTCGTGGTTCCGTTTATTCCCACTTTGGAAGCAAGAGCCTTTGATGTCTTCCGGAAGAGGCATGATGTGAGGGAACTGAAGATTCGCTGGCTGAGAGGCATAGTCAAGTGAAAGCTCTAAAAGATCAAACAAACAAAGCCAAATAACTTGTCAGCAAAAGGCCCTGGGGGAAAAATAAACCTTGTCCTCTTTAAAAAACAAGAACAAAAGACATTGAACAAACAACCCCCCCCCCAACTTTATGTATCTACAGGCAAAAACTCTTGCCTAGAGCTTGTAAAGAAAAAGCACAAACTAGGGATTCATACCGGATCCCTGAGCTTCTGATTCTGTGTGTGCATAAGGGGAGAATAAAGGCAGTAGTGCCCACACTCTAACACTGTTTATCATTTACATTTTTTATTTAAACTACACACTTGGTTAAAAATAGCTGAACATTAGAAAAGAACTTCTGTGGAAAACAAGTAATCCTCTGGCAATCCTCTGCCATACCCCTTCACCTCCCGTAGTCTCGTTTTCACAGGGGCATCACTTTTTAATTTGTTTTCATTTCTATCTCTAAATAACACTCCTATTTCCTGTGTTTTATTTAAGGAACTTGGTAACTGTTTGCCAAACTACTGGTTCCCCACATTCTTCAAAAACATTTCTAAATTTTATTTTCCATAAAAGATAGTGATTGTGATAGTTTCTAACTACCTAATGCATCACTTTTCCTAGAAATTCACTAAAAAACGCATTTTCACTATGCATAGAATCCTAACCTTACCAACACCATTTTTTGAACAGGCAGGTCTTGCTCTCAACAGAAAAGTTCCGGTGAAACGGCTTTGGATTTATTCACGGAATCTCAGTTTTTTTTCCTAGTACCACTAAGGAGCCATTTTCTTTAACAAATTTGATTTTTTCTAAACCTGATTCATCACCTGTAAAATGAGAATAATGCTCACTGTCTACCTCAGAGGACTGGTTTGACTATCAGCTAAAATAATGTAAGTGAGAGCACCTAAAGATGTGTAATAGCACACCACGTGAAACGGGCTTCACACTAAACACACGCCATCTGGATGGACGTACACAGAAGACAATCAGGGGAAAGTACTCACAAAAGGATTACCAGAAGATTCTTTTAAATAGGGAGTTCTAACAGATTTTACTTTAATGTAAAATAATGTTTTTTTAATAATATATTTTTTAAATAAAAAATTTTAAACATACCAAAGCACAGAGTTAATACAATATGCACGCATCACCAAGATTTGGCTGGCTTAGTTAACATTCTCCTACATTTTCTTCAACTTTTCTTCGAAAGAAAATGTTACACATACAACTGAATGTCTCACTCCTACCCCTCATGTATCTTAAATCTGTATCCAATAATTCATGAACAAGATTACTGCCCATGACCTCTAGGAAATTATGTGGTTATCTAAGTACCTGAAATAAAACTAAATTGCTAGCTACAGCACACTCAATTTTTCCCCATTTGCTTCTAGGTAAAAGGAAACCAAAATCTAGACCAAAGACCTATTTAGGGTTCATATCCTACAGCTTCGGATAAAATTTTCCACATGTCCCTGTGTTTGCACACATAGCATGCATAAAAGCTAAGTTTCCACACAATCCCCGGGCAAGCTTGGAGCAAGAAACACTTCAATTACCAAGACAGGCTTTCAATACTCCAAGTATGGTTCTTAAAAATGAAAGCAGGAACCTAAGTTATTAATTCAGTTCTTTAGAACACTTATTTGATTTTCTCCCCAGCAATGAAGCAACTGAACTGGGCTGATTCCTGATGGATGCCTCAGGTTTCACCCTGCTTAAATGAGTGAGAGGAAAAGAGACCCACTGCATAAGTTCTCTGTAACGGGGCACTATGGAGTGGCAGTCACACTCCACTTTCGTCAGTTAATGTATATAAAATAACAGCGAAGCCTAGCCAGAAGAATACAGGTTCAAATCCCAGTCCCCGACTTCCTAGCAGTGTGAAGCTGAGCAAGTTACGCAAGCTTTCAAAGCCCCAGTTTCCTCATCAGTAAAAGGATTAATCTCAGTAGGGATCAGCAAACATTCTGTGAAGAGCTAAAAGGAACATATTTTGGGCTTTGTGGGTCATAGTCTCTGCTACTATAGCAGTCTGTGCTACTAAGGCAGCCACAGACAGCACGTAAACAAAAGGGCGTGCTGGCCATGCTTCAAATTTTTATTTACAACACCAGGCAGCGGTTCAGATATGATCATAGTTTGCCACCCTTGATCTAAAAAATGTATGTAAAGTTTCCAGCACAGTGAGTGTTCATACGTGGCACCTGCTGTTATCATTGTTGCTATTGTTTTTAGTAAAAGTTTAAAAGAACCTAACAATTTATCAAGAGCCTTCACATCCATGAACTCAACAATCTTCTAGCCTTGTGAGTTAAGAATAATATTAATATTCTTGTTTTATAGAGTAAGAAAGCAGGACTCAGAAACATTAAGGATCTCATCCATGGTTACAGCTGATAAGAAGCAGGGCTAGAATGTGAATCTGTCTTCTGACTCCAAACCCAAGACTATTTTTCTTACATCATTATCGCCAAGTTAGATGTCTAGACTAACTGGAGATTTTCGGGGATAGTCAGCTTTATATAACTGTGATATGTATGCTGAGCCAATTAATTGGTTATTTTTATTGAGATTAAGAGCATTTATGCCTTCTGAGTAGACTAGGCACTCAGGTGTCAGAAAACCTCCAAATAAAGTCAAGATCTAATCATCGTACCATCATTTCTGGGACCCAGAGGGTAAGTATGATTTTGAAGACCAGAGGAAGCCAGGCTAT